TGTTATCTACAATCTCATTTCAAACACAAGTTCTTTTTATTTCTTCAGTGTAAACAAGGTTTTTTTTCCCCATCATTTCCAATCCTGAATGATATTTTGGTCTTGTGGTACTTGTACTCGTAACAGCCTGGGGCTTGCCAGTGTCCCTCAGGCTTCTGGGAAGATGAAATAGTGCGCTGTTTCAAGAGGAGCACACTGCTTCAGCCACAGGTTTAAATTAAGCGTGGTGGAGCAGCGTCGGGAGGGGAGGCCTCAAAGCCCCTCCGGCCACATAGGAAAGAGAATAACTCATGTATGGCAGCATGAATGCGACGGCTGATACGCTAAATGTAAACAAGAGGAGAGACACGGTAAGCGAGGGGTCAAGTCATCGCACATATATCGCTTGAGCAGGGGGGGGTTCATATTCTGCAGAGCTTATTTTGGTTTTGCTTTTCATTTTGGTTTCACACCATGAAACACAAATCAAATATTAATGAGAAATGTGCGTCAGAAAAGAAGGCAGGTAAGTGTGTTTCCACTTTTGAGTGCCAAAAAGAGAAGAAGAAAAAAACTTGGTTTACCTTGATAATTTCTTAAAATGTTCCGACTGTTATTAAACAAGCAGTATATCATTATTATTTTATTCTATTTATTATAATATTCTATTCAACAAAAAGCGTAACATTTCTCATTCATGTTCTCGTGACACAATGCCGGTTGGATTGATGTACTTTAGAAAGTTTGAGTGCCATGAAACAAGTCATCAGTTTTGTATGTGCATGTGTGTATATGTATGTGTTGTCGACAGCAGACATGGCACCATACAGAGCGAGCGTCACCTTAATGCCGGTGTTGTCCTTTAGGGATCTCTGTTTGCTAGCAAAGACACTTCATCAGTCCAGTCTAAGTCCCCTGCTCATGCTTTCTGTGTGCCAAGTGTGTTTCCACTTTTGAGTGCCAAAAAGAGAAGAAGAAAAAAAATTGGTTTACCTTGATAATTTCTTAAAATGTTCCGACTGTTATTAAACAAGCAGTATATCGTTATTATTTTATTCTATTTATTATAATATTCTATTCAACAAAAAGCGTAACATTTCTCATTCATGTTCTCGTGACACAATGCCGGTTGGATTGATGTACTTTAGAAAGTTTGAGTGCCATGAAACAAGTCATCAGTTTTGTATGTGCATGTGTGTATATGTATGTGTTGTCGACAGCAGACATGGCACCATACAGAGCGAGCGTCACCTTAATGCCGGTGTTGTCCTTTAGGGATCTCTGTTTGCTAGCAAAGACACTTCATCAGTCCAGTCTAAGTCCCCTGCTCATGCTTTCTGTGTGCCTGCTGGAATTCCTGTTTTGCTTGGGCCAGCATGTCCTTGTAGAATTGCAAGCCTTCTTTCTTTTCCTTCAAGGCGTTCTTCAGAGCAGTTCTCAAGGTTTCATTTTCTTCTAGTTGCAGTGCCAGCCTGTATGGACGAAAAATACATATATATGCATTTAGTTACTGGGCTGGAGCAAGCAGTTTGTTTAAGGGAGCATCACTATTTCAGTTGCTCATATTATGTATAAGGGTTTTAACTTGGCACATTCTGCTTAGTTCTGTCATGACAGCTCTCTGAGAGTTTAGCATGGTAATGGGCATGTGTACTGTACGTGACATGTTATCTACAATCTCATTTCAAACACAAGTTCTTTTTATTTCTTCAGTGTAAACAAGGTTTTTTTTCCCCATCATTTCCAATCCTGAATGATATTTTGGTCTTGTGGTACTTGTACTCGTAACAGCCTGGGGCTTGCCAGTGTCCCTCAGGCTTCTGGGAAGATGAAATAGTGCGCTGTTTCAAGAGGAGCACACTGCTTCAGCCACAGGTTTAAATTAAGCGTGGTGGAGCAGCGTCGGGAGGGGAGGCCTCAAAGCCCCTCCGGCCACATAGGAAAGAGAATAACTCATGTATGGCAGCATGAATGCGACGGCTGATACGCTAAATGTAAACAAGAGGAGAGACACGGTAAGCGAGGGGTCAAGTCATCGCACATATATCGCTTGAGCAGGGGGGGGTTCATATTCTGCAGAGCTTATTTTGGTTTTGCTTTTCATTTTGGTTTCACACCATGAAACACAAATCAAATATTAATGAGAAATGTGCGTCAGAAAAGAAGGCAGGTAAGTGTGTTTCCACTTTTGAGTGCCAAAAAGAGAAGAAGAAAAAAACTTGGTTTACCTTGATAATTTCTTAAAATGTTCCGACTGTTATTAAACAAGCAGTATATCATTATTATTTTATTCTATTTATTATAATATTCTATTCAACAAAAAGCGTAACATTTCTCATTCATGTTCTCGTGACACAATGCCGGTTGGATTGATGTACTTTAGAAAGTTTGAGTGCCATGAAACAAGTCATCAGTTTTGTATGTGCATGTGTGTATATGTATGTGTTGTCGACAGCAGACATGGCACCATACAGAGCGAGCGTCACCTTAATGCCGGTGTTGTCCTTTAGGGATCTCTGTTTGCTAGCAAAGACACTTCATCAGTCCAGTCTAAGTCCCCTGCTCATGCTTTCTGTGTGCCTGCTGGAATTCCTGTTTTGCTTGGGCCAGCATGTCCTTGTAGAATTGCAAGCCTTCTTTCTTTTCCTTCAAGGCGTTCTTCAGAGCAGTTCTCAAGGTTTCATTTTCTTCTAGTTGCAGTGCCAGCCTGTATGGACGAAAAATACATATATATGCATTTAGTTACTGGGCTGGAGCAAGCAGTTTGTTTAAGGGAGCATCACTATTTCAGTTGCTCATATTATGTATAAGGGTTTTAACTTGGCACATTCTGCTTAGTTCTGTCATGACAGCTCTCTGAGAGTTTAGCATGGTAATGGGCATGTGTACTGTACGTGACAGAGAACTGTTCAGAGATCTTTTAGTACTAAAATGAGGTAGCATGTAAATACTACATTTAGGAAGAAAAGACGTACTGTGCTTTGAGTTGAATATGTTGAGCATCACGGGTGACATCAGAGGGGCTTCTGGGAGACGAACCCTCCTGTTTGTCAGGGAGACTCAAAGTGCTGCCCGAGCTTCCTACATCAGGCCAAGAAAACCCAGCGGATTTCAGTTTGCTTTTGAGTCAGACATTCAATGACCTTGGGCTTTACGATATAATACTGGTTTCAGTGACACTCCTGTACCATGTGAAATATGATTGAAACTGAAAAAAGCAACATACTAGTTTCAGTCTACATGAAGCCATACAGAACCTGTTCTACTCCGATTAGATGTTTGCAGACTCGCTTCTTTCCTTGAGTCCAGTTTGGCTTTCTCCAGCTGCTGCTCCAGTGAGACTGAACGCTGCCATTCTAGTCTGAGTTTCTGCTCAGCTTCTGCACACTGGTGCTTTGCCTCTTCTTCACTGAAATTAAGATTATTTAAGGACATAAACTGTAACCGTCCATGAAAGCAATTACATGCCACAAGCATCAACAAACACAATTGCAAAAATAATGTCTTTTCAAACAGCCAGTCCCATGAAAAACCCATTGCCATTGCCTGTCCCATTTGCCAGGGTTTCCCAAAAGGGGGGTTCATAAGGGAACTGCAGGGGGTTTGTGAGTTGATGAGAAGCTAGTAATTCATAATATTGACTGTAAGATTAAAATAAATACAAGGGGCTGCACGATAATCAGGATATAGCTCAGTGCAATTGTAAAATCAAATCCCGTGATTTAATTAAATAGCTGTACAGTCTGATGCAGAGTGAAAAACGGGCAGCTCGTGATCTGGTGTTTTCAGCTTGGTTCAGCACGAACACTATCTCTGTGTTCATATGCATCGTACACTAGATGTACTTTATTTACACATTCACATAATTTCCACCATTTTTTTTTTGTTTGTAAACAAAATTTACAGCTTTTCACTGGTATTCCGCCAAAATAAAAGCTCAAGGATTTGAAATGTTAAAAAGCTGGAGGATTTGAACATTTGAATGTGAAGAATTTAAAACATAAATATTAGCAATGTAATTGTATTGTATTGTATTGCAATAAAAATAGATAGCAATGTCATATGACCATTAACCGTCATCGAGAACTGTAAAAAATGTGAATTATTAACTTAAAATGTCAGGGGGGCTTCAAGTAAATATTTCACTTTTTAGGGGTTTGGCTGACAAACCATTTTGGGAAACCCTGACATAGGTACTGTTGAAGCTTTTGAAAGACAGAGATGCATTTCATATCTTATTTATTGGTAAATTATGTGCTCTAAATTTATGATTTCAACATAACATGATGTTGCTTGCTATTAAGCAGAATCAAATGGTATTAAGCAACAGTGGATGAATTCTAACAGTATTGAAAGGGACCCCATACACCTATGCCCTTTCCAAACCCATATAACTTTCTTTTATCCATGGAACCCAAATGAAGATTTTTTGAAGAAAGTTATTAATAACATAGTTATAAACCTACCTGGTTTGCTGTACTTTGGTCAGTTCCAGCAGTCTGTCTCTCTCCACACTCGCAGCTTGATAAAGAGCCTTATACTCAGCACACTGAGCCTGGAGCGCTGGGGTTTTAACAGCACACTCTGCACAGGCCGCTTGTGCATCTCTGAAATAATATGCAATGCTTTCACTCATGTTGCTGTATTAGATAACAGAAGATACTGCAGACTGTAGGAAGTGTGTGTGTGTGTGTGTGTACCTTGTATTCCCTACATTATGGGGACCAAATGTCCTCACAAGGATAGTAATAACAATAATTTGTGACCTTGTCAAATTTTTGGTCCCCATCAGGAAACAAGCTTATAAATCATACAGAATGAATTTTTTTGAAAATCTAAAAATGCAAAAAGTTTTCTGTGAGGGGTATGTTTAAGGGGAAGAAAAGACGTACTGTGCTTTGAGTTGAATATGTTGAGCATCACGGGTGACATCAGAGGGGCTTCTGGGAGACGAACCCTCCTGTTTGTCAGGGAGACTCAAAGTGCTGCCCGAGCTTCCTACATCAGGCCAAGAAAACCCAGCGGATTTCAGTTTGCTTTTGAGTCAGACATTCAATGACCTTGGGCTTTACGATATAATACTGGTTTCAGTGACACTCCTGTACCATGTGAAATATGATTGAAACTGAAAAAAGCAACATACTAGTTTCAGTCTACATGAAGCCATACAGAACCTGTTCTACTCCGATTAGATGTTTGCAGACTCGCTTCTTTCCTTGAGTCCAGTTTGGCTTTCTCCAGCTGCTGCTCCAGTGAGACTGAACGCTGCCATTCTAGTCTGAGTTTCTGCTCAGCTTCTGCACACTGGTGCTTTGCCTCTTCTTCACTGAAATTAAGATTATTTAAGGACATAAACTGTAACCGTCCATGAAAGCAATTACATGCCACAAGCATCAACAAACACAATTGCAAAAATAATGTCTTTTCAAACAGCCAGTCCCATGAAAAACCCATTGCCATTGCCTGTCCCATTTGCCAGGGTTTCCCAAAAGGGGGGTTCATAAGGGAACTGCAGGGGGTTTGTGAGTTGATGAGAAGCTAGTAATTCATAATATTGACTGTAAGATTAAAATAAATACAAGGGGCTGCACGATAATCAGGATATAGCTCAGTGCAATTGTAAAATCAAATCCCGTGATTTAATTAAATAGCTGTACAGTCTGATGCAGAGTGAAAAACGGGCAGCTCGTGATCTGGTGTTTTCAGCTTGGTTCAGCACGAACACTATCTCTGTGTTCATATGCATCGTACACTAGATGTACTTTATTTACACATTCACATAATTTCCACCATTTTTTTTTTGTTTGTAAACAAAATTTACAGCTTTTCACTGGTATTCCGCCAAAATAAAAGCTCAAGGATTTGAAATGTTAAAAAGCTGGAGGATTTGAACATTTGAATGTGAAGAATTTAAAACATAAATATTAGCAATGTAATTGTATTGTATTGTATTGCAATAAAAATAGATAGCAATGTCATATGACCATTAACCGTCATCGAGAACTGTAAAAAATGTGAATTATTAACTTAAAATGTCAGGGGGGCTTCAAGTAAATATTTCACTTTTTAGGGGTTTGGCTGACAAACCATTTTGGGAAACCCTGACATAGGTACTGTTGAAGCTTTTGAAAGACAGAGATGCATTTCATATCTTATTTATTGGTCAATTATGTGCTCTAAATTTATGATTTCAACATAACATGATGTTGCTTGCTATTAAGCAGAATCAAATGGTATTAAGCAACAGTGGATGAATTCTAACAGTATTGAAAGGGACCCCATACACCTATGCCCTTTCCAAACCCATATAACTTTCTTTTATCCATGGAACCCAAATGAAGATTTTTTGAAGAAAGTTATTAATAACATATTTATAAACCTACCTGGTTTGCTGTACTTTGGTCAGTTCCAGCAGTCTGTCTCTCTCCACACTCGCAGCTTGATAAAGAGCCTTATACTCAGCACACTGAGCCTGGAGCGCTGGGGTTTTAACAGCACACTCTGCACAGGCCGCTTGTGCATCTCTGAAATAATATGCAATGCTTTCACTCATGTTGCTGTATTAGATAACAGAAGATACTGCAGACTGTAGGAAGTGTGTGTGTGTGTGTGTGTACCTTGTATTCCCTACATTATGGGGACCAAATGTCCTCACAAGGATAGTAATAACAATAATTTGTGACCTTGTCAAATTTTTGGTCCCCATCAGGAAACAAGCTTATAAATCATACAGAATGAATTTTTTTGAAAATCTAAAAATGCAAAAAGTTTTCTGTGAGGGGTATGTTTAAGGTTAGGGGATAGAAAATACAGTTTGTACCAGTGTTTGGGGAAATGCATTACAAATAATGTGAGTTACGTAATCAGATTAACTAGTAAAGTTAAGCATTACTTTTTAATTTACATGAAAATATCTGAGCTACTTTTTCAAATAAGTAACACCAGTTACTTTGTTTTCCCATTTATTAACTGACAGCTCTCCAGTCCCCATGTTGAGAGAAATCGGGAGTAAGTGCAGATGCGCCGTGTGTGCTGTGTGAACATGATGTTACTGTAGATCTACTAAATGTCAACATGCATTTACTCATCTCACTTGCAGAAAAACAGATTTAGTATTCTTGAATGAAAACAGTGAAATGCAAACTCAGAATATGATGCAAGCCTGCAATAATTAATATTAAATAACACAAATATCCTTTATGTATTTAATCCCTTTTTATTAACCAATGTCTTTGCTGCTGACCTTCGATGATCCAATTCAAGTGGATGACGACGACAAAGGGTTTTCAGGCATCCGAACAATAAAGGGTTAAATGCGGCTTTTAATTTGTTTTCTGTACATTATTTTTGATACATTTCTGTACAGGTGTCCTTTTTCATTTTATTTTTCTGAGTAAAAAATATAATGACCATCACACATTTTCACCATTATTTAGAGTAATTCAGTGTAATAATATTTCATAAAACAAAAAATCTTGTCAGGCATACTTAGACCCAGAATTATTAGATTCATTAAAAGACTCTATTTAAGGATCACAATGCAGCCCTCAAAAACTAATTAATTGTCATCTTCAATCTTTACCAATCTTTGCCATGATCCTTCAAACAATAGGTTTCCCCATTTGTCAGCAAGAAGTTTTTAATCATTTAAAGTGCAATACAATTTAGCATGAACACTTATTCTTTTATATATTTTAATAAGGACAGGTCAGAATAAGTATGTTGTTATGACATAAATATATCTTTTCATATATCTTTTCATATATGTTTTCAGTGTTGGGGTAACACATTACAAGTAACGTGAATAAGTAATCAGATCTTTATTACAAGTAACTAGTAAAGTTACTTTTCCAGTAGAGTTACTTTGTTCTCCCATTACTGACTGACAGCTCTCGTGTTTCCATGTTGAAAGAAATCGTAAGTAAGTGTTGCATACATGACGTTCACAAAACAGTAAAAATAGTGAAATGCAAACTAAGAATATGATGCAAACCGGTAATAATTATGGTAAATAGCACTCAATTCCTTTATGTTTAATCCCATTTTATTAAGCAACGTCTTTGCTGCTGATCTTCGATGATCCAATTCAACTAATAAGCATAAAAAAAAAAGATTGTCATCTCCTGCGACAGCATAGCTGAAAGGTTTGTTTGAGCTGCACCCTCTACTGTACAGACGTGAATTTACATTTCAGCCTGAGGCTTCTTCATTTCATTTTTGGTGTGAAAGGGCTTTTGCAGTTGCCAAAAATATAATTTTTTAATATTAAAAACAAACAAGCACAACCAGCCCAGATGATAAAAAGTAGCGCAAAAGTAATGTAACACATTACTTTTCACAAAAAGTAACTAAGTAACACAATGTAAGTAACACATAGTGTTTGTGTGTGTGTGTGTGTGTGTGTGTGTGTGTGACCATTGATATTTATGTGTGTGTGTGTGTGTGTGTGACCATTGATATATATGTGTGTGTGTGTGTGTGTGTATGAGTGAGTGAGTGAGTGTGAAAAATATTTGGTCAGCATGCTTATGACAAGGAAAAATCACAGTTTATTTGCTGTTGTTGACTGAGAATGTTAATACCTGGCAGAGTGTGACTCCCTGCTGTTCTCATGTCGTGATGTCAAAGGCCTGATGTTAGTTTGACTCTTACACTCCAACTGCTTCTGCACCAGATACACGAAACGTGTGTAAGCATGAAAAACAAAACACCGCTGATGATGTGATCAGACATGCCATACCATGTGGGCGAGTTGCTGGATCTCCCGCTCCAGCTCTTTGACCTTGTTCTCCTTCTCTGACACCATGGCTCTGAGCTGCTGGATGAGCGAGGCGTGCTGCTGGGCCTCGCTGTGCAGATGCCTCTCAAGGCCCTGCTGAGCCTCCTCACGCTGGGACCCTTTCTGGCTTAGATGCCCGAGCATGGCCTGCCACGAAGCCTGCTGCTTCTGTCGGAGGAGCGAGTCAGAGGTCAACCCTGCTAAAATATTAAAGATCACCTGCCAAATCAATATTTAATATCACGTGCTTCTCCTTGGAGGAGGGAGTCAGAGATCATTCGTCTGTTTGGAATTGTATATTCTTTCTGGTTTATACATACTGTTTGTCATTCTTGTTTGTTTATTATTATTTACAAGAACATCTACAGTATATTACTATTTACAATAATGTCTGTTCGGTGTCTTACGTTAGATTTCATGAAAAATTGGGTAATACTCACTATTAACTAGTTGCTTATTAGCGTGCATATTACTAGCATATTGGCTGTTTATTAGTACTTATAAACTTATAACCAAGTGCTCATACATATCAGATAAGTTAGATGCTTATAAGTTCTGTTATTTATTCATACATAAATATTTATTTGCATTTATATTGATGTATTTATATACTGTATATATTGGGTAAATAATAATTATAGAATTATTCATTATCATTATAAATGACATTGTTGATATTAATAAATATGACTATTAATTGAACATTGGAGTCTGTTAATGATAATAAATATTAGTTAATGGTTTGTTAATAGTGAGAATTGAACCTTAAAATAAAGTATGAACAACATAACTTATTTATCGAACATTGGATTCTTTTAATATATCGCAGACACCCTAATTTTTGGGTCAACTAACTCTTTAATCTAGAACCTGAGTGTCTTTTTGCAGCTTGCAAGTCATATGTGTTGGGTTCTTAAAGTATTTTGTACGCAAAATTGGTCTTTAAATAGCTTATATCTGAGCTTTTCACAGTATGTCTTTATTACAGATATCTACAGTATGTCTTTATTACAGATCACTAGTGCTGCCCAAACCAGGGGTGAGTAAAAACATTCAGAAATTAGTTGATACTTCATGATTGGCATGTATTTCCAGTCCATGCATCTACTTTCCCTTCTGAAAAGACATATGTAAGTCGCCAGCATACTACGGTATGTGTTTTGGATGCTGGTATCCCCACTAGAGTCCCATAATTTGTTTAAATGAAAACTTTGCGGTCCATCATCTGATCAACACCAAACCAGCACTAACAAAACTAACCAAGGGTAACTGGCTCCTGAACTGTCTAGAGTTACATTACACTGATCATTTCACTAGTATACATTTAACCAGACTCTTAAAAATAAAGGTCCTTTATTGTCATTGATGGTTCCATGTAGAACTCCTAACATCTATGGACATTTTCCAATGGACAAAAGGTTCTTCATAGTGAAAAAAGGTTCATTCGATTTTTAAATGTTCTTCACACTAAGAAAATAATGGTTCTTTTAAGAAATGCTGACTGAAAGGTTCTTTGGAGCCTCCTCTTTTGGAACCTTTGTTTTTATATGTCTATATATTCTGTTTTGGGTATCATAATTCAAGAATCTGTTACCAATAAGGCATCGACCAGCTCATCATCGTGTTTGCCTTTATCCAGCAGAGTGCTGATCTGGCTCTTCAGGGCTTTGACTTCTGTGCTCAACACTTTGTTCCTGGCTTTGGAGGCCTCCAGTTTCTTCTTCATGTCTGAGTGCTCATCAAGCAAAACTTCATAATCTATTGTGAGCTTCTGCAAAGACACATCATTATCAAAATGTGAAATGTTATGACATACTCAGGCCCATAAAGATGCTGAATCGATGTGCACAACCTCCAGTGTCTCCTTCCTCTCCCTCTCTATGTGACGGATGTGGCTGAGGTTTCTGTCTTGTGTCTTCTGTAGGCCTCCCGTTCTCATGATCTCCTCCTCCAGGCCTAAGTCACATAGCTGCTTTCTGTGAGAGGACTGGCTCAGCTGTCGTTCCAGGTCTCGCACCTTCAGTGTATAAAATGTTTAACAGTATCAAGTGACCTATGAATACTAAGAATACAACAGAGCTAATTCCAATAATGGCTGAAATCATGGAAGGCTGTTTCTGCCAGTTCTCAGAACTGCAAGAAAAACTCAGAATTCTCACTTTCTCACAATTCAGAGTTTATATCTCACAGTTCTGACTTTAGATCTCGCAATTCAGACTTTTTTTCTCCCAGAATTGCAAGGAAAAAAGACAGAATTATGAGAAAATTTAAAATTGCAAAGAAAAAAGTCAGAATTGTGAGATAAAAAGTCACAATTATCTTTTTAAATATTTTTATCCCATAGCACAAACAAGCTCTCATATGGAATGGTTGTTTCAAGCTAATTTTAATTCCATCCAGTGAGTTTGTAGTGGATACTGATATTTTTAGATACTTTTACAGAGATTTCCATTTTGTATGAAAAATGTTAGGATAAATATAAAATTATTATAATTATTATAAAACAGCATGTCTTTCTTTATTTCGGAATTGTGCAATAGAAATTCATAATTGCAAGCAAAATGTCAGAATTGTGAGATAAAAGTCGCAGTTACTTTTATTTTTTATTCCGTGGTAGGCAAAAAATGCACACATACAGTTGTTTGTGTTTATATGCACAATTCTGTGTTTTTATCTCATAATTCTGACTTTTTTCTCAGAATTGCATGAAACAAAGTCTGAATTGTGAAATATAAATTCAGAATTGCAATAAAAGTAGTCTAAATTGTAAGATAGTTGTGAGAAATTTGTGATATGTGACCCTAGCGCACAAAAGCAGTCTGGGTCAAAATTATACATTTTTCTTTTATGACAAAAATCATTAGGATATTAAGTAAAGATCATGTTCCATGAAGATATTTTGTAAATTTCCTACCGTAAATATATCAAAACTTAATTTTTGATTAGTAATATGCATTGCTAAGAACTTCATTTGGACAACTTTAAAGATGATTTTCTCAATATTTTGATTTTTTTGCACCCTCAGATTCCAGATTTTAGGGAATTTTAGTTGTATCTCGGCCAAATATTGTCCGATCCTAACAAACCATACATCAATGGAAAGATTATTTATTCAGCTTTCAGATGATGCATAAATCTCAATTTCAGAAAATTGACTGGTTTTGTGCTCCAGGGTCACATATATAAACTCAGAGTTGTGAGATATAAACTCTGAATTGAAAGGGGAAAAAAAGTCTATTTTGAATGACAAATGTTAGAATAAATCCAAAATAATTTTTCTTATGAAACAGCACTTCTGCTTTGCTCAAGAAAATGTCCAAGAGAGAATAGTCTTTCTCAAGGCATGAAAGCTGATTAACATGCATGAGTTTATAATCAATATCTAAAACAAATCAGTCAAATAAAAGTCGACGTGCAGGTTCAGGGCATGTTGCCTCACTCTGTTCTGAAGGGCGAGGATCTGCTGAGAACGGCCTCTCCAGCCTCCCGGGTTACACAGTATCTGCTGAATATTGACATCCTCGCCCACCTCACAGCTCAACACCTGACAAAACAGTTGACTAAATCATCACATGATTAAAAATGATGTTTACTCAAACCAATGCATATAAATGACAGGATTTATTGTGAACAGACCTTGTGAGCTATTTTGAACTCTTGTTTAAACGTCTGGATCTGGTTGCGGTATTCAGTCATTTTGAGTTGGGCTGTAGATAGTTTCTCCTGCAGGGATTTTACGACTGGGCTGTTCTACACAAAAACACATCAAACACAAGGTCATTTAAAAACAGTTACATATGTCTAATCATGTACCAAATGATGATGAACATGTTATAAAACAATATTACTTCAAGATGGTCGTTCACAGTCCTTGAATCCTGCATTTTGTCTGTCTTCTTTCCAGGATTACGTAACAATGTGGCCTGAAGCTAATAAAACAGCAAAAAATACTGATGAAATACCACACTGAGAAGGAGTTGACAAAAGCAACGTTCAATGCAATGCTCCAAAAAAAAAAACATTTGAAATAAAAAAAGTTACCAATTCTGTTTTATCTTTACCTCTTTCTCCAGATCTTTGACTCGATTGTTTGCTTGTTTAGTTTTGGTCTTCCCTCGTTCTATTTCAGCGGCTAATTCTCGATTCTTCTTTGATAGCTCCACAATTTTGGTTGCAGCTGCATCACCTGCCAGACCAGCAGTTCCTTGGCAAAGAAAACACAGAAATGTCGCATGCATTATGTACCAGACAGATATTGTGGCTCTAAAAAGTATTTGGACACTTAATGTATGAATGATATTGCATTAGGTTGAATTTTTTCAAAAAAACATACACTAATGTTCAAAATGGTCAGTAAGATTTTTTTTGTTTGTTTGTTTTGCTTTTTTGAAAGAAATTAAGATTTTTGTTCAGCAAGGATGCATTAAATTGATCAAAAGTGGCCGTAAAGACATTTATAATGTTCCAACAGATTTAAATTTCAAATAAATGCTGTTCTTTTCAACTTTATGATCATCATAATAAATATCATAATAAATGTTATCACCGTTTCCACATTAGGCAGCACAACTGTTTTCAACGCTGATAAAATACTGCACATCAAATCATCATATTAGAATGATTATGACAGAAAATTCAGCTTTGGAATCCATCACAGAAATAAATTATATTTTAAAATATATTAAAATATACTTTTTATCAAATAATTGCAGCCTTAGTGAGATTTGACTTTTTTCAAAAACATCCCCCCAAAAAAAAGTAGTAATATACTTTGACTTCATGCAGCCACTAACCAAAAAGGATACAGCTACAGCCAGAAGTGACACAAGTCTTGCAAAATCTAGTTCGCTATTTGTCGTCTTCACTGTCCATTTTATTTTTTCCTGTCCATCCAGCGAGATTTTAAGAGATTTTGGTTCAAAGGACAACGTAAGCTGATAACTTCACTTGTTGTATTCTCTACTGTCTTAATGTATTGTTATTTCATTTTGTCTTTCACTTTCTTCCTGTCCATCCGGCAAGATTTTGCGTCACTTCCGGCCGTAGCTGTATCCCTTCAAACCACAACCCTATCCAGTTGGTTAGTAGCCATTTAAAAAATGGCTCAGAAAATGTAATGAGAATAGCTTTACTATCATTTGTTTTCAGATGCCACATGCAGTGTAATGCATACTTAAGTGTGATGTAAGAGTCTTATACATTCATTGTTAGCATATAAAGCTCACAACAGTAGAAATGACACACTGTTTACCTGCTAAAGCCAATCTTTCCTCCTCTCTCTTCTTCTTCAGGTGTTTTATCTCAAAGTCTTTCTCACTCAGCAGTTTATAGAGTCTGCCGTTCTCATCTCTCAGTTCCCTCAGATGATCATGCAACTGTTCATTTTCATTCTGCATCACTCTGAATTAGAGTACAATTACTATTTTAATAATGCACACTGCATATGGAATAAACACATGGTGTGTGTGTGTGTGTGTGAGTGTGTGTGTGTGTGTGTGTGTGAGTGAGTGTGTTATAAGTTATATAGTTATGTAAAAAAAAATAGACGTGGAAAATTAAAAGGAAAATTCATGCAGAGGTATATAATTTTAAATGAAAGTGATGAAGGGGGAAAAGCTGAATGCAGTCTGCCAAATTTCCAATGAATAATTAAATAAGGTTTCATTTCTGGCATGATGGACTATGTTGCTGTCCTGGAAGGATGCTGTTCGCATAATGACCCTAATAATTATATTTGTGATAGCAGCTCTGTGAACTCGTGTTTCGTGTGTCACCTTGCATTGAATAGATTCATCATGTCATCATCCTCTTCTGTGAGGTTTATAACGTCCAGACTGCTGAGAAGAGGAGCGTTTGAATCCCTCTTATCTCTGTCCATCTTTTTCATCTCCAATCTTCTCTGGATGCGCTGCACTTGTTGCTCTTGAAGAGATTGAAACTGAAGCCTCAGCTGCTCCTTTATTTCATCACTGTCACCATCCATCCCTGAGAGATCAGAGACAATATGACACATCTGACAAATGGCATGAGAGCTTGTTTATGCAATCTAATGCAGTTATAGATGAGAGCTGTCCAAACATGCTTCAAAGAAACATTCATACATCCAGGACAGGTAAAGAGAGCACGTTACACCTGCTGCAGGATTGTTTTTAAAGCACTTTTTGTCCTTTTATATAATTTCATTTTTAGTATTATGTTTTCTCTGTGTTAATGTTTATAAATTCTAACCTATAATAAACCACTGTGAGATGTACTGTGACATGCAAACAAATAAAATATTTATTAATATTCTTTTTACTACTCCTACTGCTTACTATCAGCTTCCATGAAGCATATATGTATAATATTAGAGCAATGTCGATTATTTTAGACAAATTAACGTTTAACCTTTATCATACAAACTAACGTTACCGTCCGGAGATGATTCTCAAGCGGTCAGTTTAAACCTGAACAAAAACTTACCGGACGAATTAAGAAAGATTCCGGTCAACTTAGTTAAAAATTGACATTAGAATTGACATGGTTATGGTTATAAAGTATAAAAATAGAGCTAAGAGAGTATAGTCCGTGATTTAATGGATGTTAAAGGTTTCCCGTCCATTTGTATACACGACCGTCTCCGTGGAAACGCGTTACCACGCTCTCAGAAAAAAAAGGTACAAAAGATGTCACTGGGGCGATACGTTTTCAAAAGTTATTACAATGTATCATTTAGGTACTAATATGTACACTTGAGGTACTAATATGTACCTTTAAGATACTAAAACGCACGCTTTAGGGGTAAATAAGGTACAAAGGTGTACCTTTTGAAAGGGAACCGTCCCACTGACAGCTTTTGTACCTTTTTGCTGAGAGTAGCAGGAAGTGCATGCAGAGACGCGTCATGTTGTATTAGTTGTAAAATAATAAGTCACTTGTTAGGAATAATTCATAACAGCAGGAATGTAACACAGACATTTGTACATTAGTGAGAGCTTAATACATGTCTATATACAAATATAATAAATTCGACAGAATTTACAAGTTTTGTTTCATAGAAAGTCGTCTGGCCTATATATTGTTCTTTTGCTTTTTGATTAAATCTCTTAATTTATTTTTTTCAAGAAAATGTACATTTGTGAATATGAAATTTCAATTACGAATACGATTACATTGTTAGGACCCCGTCACAACCTAAACTGGAACAGATTATTTACAAGAACTACAACTTCAGGGGTGGGAAAAGGCCAAAACAAAAAAACTAACTAACTAAATTGTTCATCCTTATCAGAGAGAGAGAGAGAGAGATAACATATATCATCTCAGGATATAACAGCAACGACTGATATTGTCAACCCAGATGTCCTTGGCGATTCACCAATGAATTCAATGCCTAGCCACAGGAATCTGACTTTCATTGTGAATGAAGAGTGTAGAACTGAGTTCGTTTTTAATTCTTTACCAAACAAAAGTAATGGCTTTGACTGCAAGAAACTGACTCAGGACATCCCCACATAGGCTAACTCCTCTAGAAATGTTAAGTCTAGGGGAAGTGTCGTTTAACATCTTAAAAGAACATCTTTATAGAGAGTGTTGAATGCTTTAGAAATCTTGGAATAATATAAAGCCATGATCATGAATCACTTCTGAATAGTAAAAAATATATATATCCAAAACTAATCTTATATGACAATTTTTAATGAATCTTGATTGTGATTCATCAGTTACAGTACTGTTTTCCGTCTATGAAACAGTTTACTCTACATCTAAAATCTGTAGTTTTTCTAATATTAACAGTGTGTTTCGACCTGTGTTGAAGGGGCCTGAGAAAACACATTGCTCACATTTGTGGTTGATTACTAGTTGATTAAACCGGTTATCAGAGATGTGTAATTCATCGCTGACATTATCCACCATAAACTGTCCACTGAAAGTACCTTTGATACTCACAATATCTTTTACTGAGATATGATTGAGTTACTCAGAAACCAGTCTAACCATCAGAAGATCCTCTGGATTCTCATTTCCTCCATTCTCAACATCATCCAGCTCGGCCTAACTGTGTCAAACTACAATTAACATACTATTACTGTCCAATTTGTGGAATGGATAGTGCTACACTCTTCAAATAATAAAAGTTCTTTATTGGCAGCGATGCTTCCATTCCACAGAAGTTTCTTTGTAGTGGAAAAGGGTTCTTCAGATTATTACAATGTTGGTTCTTTTAAGAACTGTTCACTGAAATGTTCTTTAGGGATCCAAAAATTGTTCCTCTATGGCATTGCAGTCTTGAAAATAAAGGCTCAAGAGGGGGATTTCACAGTGACGCCATACAAGAACGACATTTGGTTCCCAAAGAACCTTTCCGTGATCAGTTCTTAAAAGAACCAACATTGTAATAATCTGAAGAACCCTTTTCCACTATTAAATTTTGCCTAGAATGTCCTCAAAGTTTGCATAGTGTCGTCATTGTACATGTAACATCTATTTCACATTGTTTTATTTGTCCTGTGTGCTTAGGTCTTAATTTTGTAATTGCTAAATCAGTCTCAGATCCTGGGAAAGTGTTTGTTCATCTTTTTTCTGATTCTCAATGAGATGTTACCAAAGAGTCCAAAATATCTTACACTACAGACTACAGCAGCATCATCTACTGTATGCACAGATCTAAACCCTGCTGGCTTTACGTCATTTTTGTTAGTGAGGCCAGCAGCGGAGTGCTACAATGCACTGTCCTTTGGGTTAAATGTTAAACTAGCCCTGATTATGTGGTCATTACAAATCCCGAGCTGTGGTGATTATCTTGCAGTTGCTGGGTGTGACGGGCTGTTTCAATAGTTCATATAAGCTATGATGAAATCTGAATTATATAATTAGGTGATGTCTGTGAGAACATTGTGTATGCAGTTACAAAGTTCTCTCATTCATTCTTATACTACTGAATATAATAATGAAAATACCCGTCTTTCTGTTTCCACAAGGGTGTTCATATTTTATTGAATAAAAATTGAATTCATGCAATTCCGTTTAATCTTCCCCCTATAATTTGTCCAATACAATCACATAAGGACATCTATAATATCAAAAATAGTCAAGAAATCAATTGCATGTATCAGATAAAAAATAATGTTTTTTAAAATCCTCTTCTTTTTTTTCTTCCCTGCTCGTTTTCTAATGTAGCTTTCCAATAAACCTGGTATTTTATGCTATAAAATCTTATAGCGAATGTTAGGGATTGTCAAACACTAAGGACTGTTTCCAAACAACACAGAACTACTGCAGCAAACCTCAATATTCACCTTGAAGAACTCATTTTGTGTAAAAATGTTTTGTCAGTCTAATCAAAAAAATGAGTAAACGTGGAGATCACGGTTCATTTATCCCAATGGAAACGGAAGGTCAAGTCAAAGAAGCATTTTGGATCCTGTATTATAGTAGAATGTCCTTTAAAACTGACACCATAATATGGCATCAATGCAGAAAACTGACATACTGTATTCAGTATACATACTATATACACCACAGAATAAGTGAGAGTGGTATAACAGTATACCGAGTCTCCAGGAGCAGGACTGCGAAAACACACATATCACAGTAACACACGAGTGGGAAATAACCAGAAGTGTTTATTGGAATTACAATAGTTAAAGTTAACCACAGTGGTAGCTGAGATCGTCAAAATATATATCACTCTAAAAGTATCATTTTGTGATTTGGTTTTGAAATACGAAAAAGGTGCAAGAATAATTTCATGCAGCAACACAATCAATCAATAAATCTACAAAAGAACAAGCTCCTCTCATGACACTCACACACAAATGATAGAGCAAAAAAAACACTGTTGCTGAAGTCCTGAAGATCCTGTTTGTAACAACAGCACTACATCTGCAAAGAACTAGACCCGTTACTAGTTTAGCAGTGTGGTGAAGACCCTATATTGCGTTCAGTGCATTGTACAATTTCAGATGATGGTTCGTTAGGGTTGTTGTCCTGGAATTTATTTTGTCTGCTGACTTAAATGATACAAGAACGAATCTTGAATTACAAGGTACAAAGGTCTTAATGCCACACCTCTGTGCTGAAACTCGGGCACAACATCGACATAAGAGCTGCAGCATTTAGCATGAATTATACTAATCCAAATATTTTCAGTAATAAACAAAACAAAACAAAAATTTAGATTGCTTTCATCAGCTTGTTACTGACATGATAAATAAATAGTACACTCTAAAAAAATGCTGGGTTAAATACAACACAGTGCTGGGTAGAGTGTAGGTGGCGGTTGCAAAATAGCTACAGTTCCGTCACATACTGTACAATGTTTCTCAAACATGCCAGGCAACATAATGAAAACGCAAACCTCTTTTTCAGAGGATTATTAAAGCTGAAAAAAGGAACCGGTTTAAAGAAATTATTTAAAAAAAAAAAAAAGTTCTCATGTTAGCAATAAATACAAAAGGACACCGTAAAAGTTGGTATTAAGGATATCGCGGGAATCTAACACATTTCTCTTCACTTTTTTTCCAATACCTTCTGCTCTAACGCTTTCTGTGCTTCCGCGGGTTTGAGAATGTACTCTCTGTACATAGAATAGATCACTCCTGCACACAGAAAGACAAAATATCACATTAAACAATTTCTCTGCAGTTATGGGGATGCATGTGTAAATCTTTAGGAAGGCCTCGTACCTAAAGTCATGGCTCCCACCACAAAGCCCTGCGCAGCCACACGCATGTGAATCAGGTGGACTGACATCTTCGTATCTCCTCTGCTCTTCAGTTTGAACAGTCTGTACGCCACAATGCCAAAGAACCCAGCCAACCCTTCAGAGACATCACAGTATATATGAAACAGTTAGGGTGATGTTATTTATGTACAGTAGGGTACACACGTCTGAGGTCATCGTAAGTGATAACGTTTTGCATTTTTGTACATTAATAAAGCCATGTGACTTGAACAAACTGAACAAGGTATAATGCTTGGATGGTTTACCTGCAGGGACAAATGGATTCTCTTTGGCTTTTCTGATAAACTTGGATTCATTGTCTTCGTATTCCATGGCAGTCATCTTGGCTAAAAGGCAATATTTAAATATGATTAGATGTCTTAAACGCCACTGTGTCATTCTCTGAAACTTTTTACACTAATACATTCTCTATTACAATTATATTATGTGCTGTTACAGGTTTATAAGATGCCTCGTCAAATAATCAATAAACTGACAAATATCAGATTTATCAAACTGGCCAATAAATTAGTAAAGTATAAAGTTATTGCAGACTCACACATATTAAGATATTCTGAATTATGAACCATATTGTACTGTACAACGTAAGATATTTTTTTATTTTATTTATTTATTTAAAAACAAAAAGGTCAGAATCATGACTTTAGGTCATTTGTGAGTTATATGAAGGTCAAACAATGCACAGAGGCCACTTAATCAAATGATATTACACGAAGAATTGATGTACATATGTAATAAAATATAAACAGCAACGACTGTTTTTTTTGATAGACCTCATCTTATCAGCTTTCAGTTAAAAGAAGATGCGACATTTCCTCAAGAGTCAGCTGTTACATTAGTACGAAGAAAACACACAAAATCACTGTGGTTCTCTGTTATCAAAATACAATATTGGCAAAACATTCAGATATTAAATAAAATTCATAACAGACCTATTTATGAAGTTTTCTGCAACACGCTGAGGTGAACTGCTCGAGTTCGCCGGTCGACAGCTGGTGTGCGTGACTGTCTGCGTGCACGGGAAGAGTGATGTAACACGTCCTACGTCAAAGTGACGTAGCTATACCGGCAATCCGTTTTTACAAAATAAAATGCTTTTTTTTAAATGACTGTCTGGCGTAGCAAGAACAAATCGTTTTTGGAATATATATATATTTTATTTATTATTAAATTTTGTCCCAAAAGAAATTCTAACAATTGAAAAAAAACAACATGTAATTATTTATATGTATATATGAAATCATACGTTTTCATCAGAAGTTTTCTTTGGAAGAAATAGGCGTTTCAAGCGACTTCCTTTTCAGTGAAGGGGCGTGACCCTTACGTGCCATCATGCATGTGTTTTCAGTTCAGGTCAGGACACCCTGTACTTTACCATTTATCTTCACAGACAGGAAATTGTCCTATTTATATACGCCTCAGTGTTGTTTTACGTTTATATTAGGTTGTGCAGTATTATTTGGATCATATGTACGGCATTTAAAGTACGTTTTGAACTATTGCCACTTTAATAGTCTAAGGTATTTCCCTGATGAACAAATTACAAATAAATGTATATTTTCTGCACTGTTGCTAGAGTTATTATACTGAAGTTCTGCTACATCAACAGATAATCAGTGATTGTACTGCTGCATCATTACTGTGTTTAATTGAGACAGAGCTCCTGCTGATGCTGAAATTAATCATTAACTCCAGGAACACAGTCTTGCACTGAAAGTCACAATACAGTGTGATGTTATTGTCTGAACTCTGGAAACATTTACTTTCGCATGATTCAGAATATATGAAGTTTACTTAGGAACTTGGCACAATGTCACTGTTGAGACTGTTGAATGTTTCTTAAATTCTAGTATAACAGGTTGAATATACATCATAAGGTCGGTGTCTTTATGCATGTGTGTTGTCTGAACTCAAATATGAGCAAATATTCGGTGTTATTAACAATATGAACACTGTATGCTCAGCATCTAAACTGTAATACTGAAATAAGTCGCTAGATGGCTTTTAGATAAAAGCTGAGTCACTGTGAGTCTGTAATAAAATCAGCACTGCGCTATAATAGCCTTCATAAAGTGTAAAGTGACAATGAATGTATTATATATTACTGTAAATTACATACAGGTCTAGGCCTTTCATGTTACTTAAAGGGGTCATATGATGCGATTTCAAGTTTTCCTTTCTCTTTGGAGTGTTACAAGCTCTTGGTGCATAAAGAAGATCTGTAAAGTTGCAAAGACTAAAGTCTCAAATCCAAAGAGATATTCTTTATAAAAGTTAATACTCTGCCACGCCTACCTAAAACGGCTCGTTCTAACAGAAAACGAAGCGTTTGAGAGAGGCGGGGCATAGAGGACCTACAATAATGTACAGTATTTGAAAAATAATGTGTTTTTTGAACATTAAAGCATGTCAACATATTCTGTTACACCAAATACACAAAATAATGATCTTTAAAATAGCATCATATGACCCCTTTAACATATCTTGTACCTATATGTTGACAACATACCTATTAGTAAGGATGATTCAGACAAACTAAAGGTGCAAACTAATGATGAAAGGTGCAAAAACATGATAATCTCTCTATACATAATTAAAATAATTGCATGCAATTTTATGGATGATTACTATTTTATGGATGCACACAAATGAAATTGATTCTTAATAGTTTCATAGTCTTCCTTTGCTGGCTTTGTAATCATGTGCTGTTTCATTTTGTTATTCATGCTTTCATAATGTTGTTATTCATTTCTGTTGTCATTATCTTCTTCATGTCATGTTCATATTTTAACTTTTGCGGTGTTTATCTGCTCATTCATCTGCTCAAAAAGCAAGCCGCTTTGTGCTCATGACACTGAAGCGGAGATCTCGATTGTTGGGATCTCTAAGATTTCACATTGTTTTTAAATAGTTTTTAATTATCTGACTTGTCGTTGTTTACTGGTTTGCTTTTTGATGCTTTTGTTAAATTGGATGGATGCACATGGATGCTGATTGTTGTATGTACAGTATCGGCAATGACAGATGTATGCCCACTTTGTCATGTGGATGTGCATTCGTTAGAAATTTGTCCAATAATAATTAGCTTGGCTTTCAATCCCACTTTTTTTTATTTTCTGGTGACTTGCAGGATAGCTGCAACCAATGTAATTGAATGGGTTTTCTGTATTTTTTGGTGGTTTTAATAAGTGTTGTGGACATAATTTAATTTGACAAAAAAAAAAATGATACGGACCTGTCACACCTGCAAATTACGCCTATGTAAAATGTGTTAAAGAGTAATGGGGAAATTTCAAATGTGGTGTCATACAAAAAGAATTTAGACTATTGTAGTAATAAGTAACAGAGAGAATGGTAGTTAATAATTTGATAGTTTTTATTGTTGAAATTGCTCCATATAAACAATCAGATCAAATATTCATTAATTAAAAGCAAATCTGACAAAAAACAATTATCAGATTTTCACTTTGAAATTAGTAGATTCATGTTGATACTAAGTCAGTAGATGTTTCAAATAAAAAAGTACTTGTTTCCTAATCTAGCTTTCTAAACTATGGATAATGCCGGTGATTAATTGCTTGTTACATTTCTTATTTGTAAGTTGTTCTGGACAGAAGTGTCTGCTAAATGAATAAATGCAATGTAAAATGTCAATAAAACATGCAAAGGAAATATTATAAAACAATTTCCTATACCGGATAAACCAAATAAGCACGAATGAAAACACTGTTAAATGTCATGATAAATCTAAGATTCCCCATGTGTAAATAATCAATTATCCAAGACATTAATAATCTAAAAGACATCTTAATCACCCAAGACAATTGATCAGCGTTAGTAAAAAAAGTTCATCTCCATTCTGTATCCCAAACCCATACTTATATCCTCATGAATAGAAAATCATTTTTAAATGTAAATTGCATAGTAATTACAATTAACTGTATTATTAAGATGAGATGTAGCTGTAAGACACCGAAGAGGTGTAGTCAACACTGCCTCTGCGTGATCCACTTCTTGAGCCGGTACGAGACCCTGCTCTGGATCCTGTACGAGAGTTTGGTCCCGAGGACACGTTGTAGGGGCTGCTTATGCCTTTCGTAGACATCGAAGTAGCCTGGAGCATCTTCATGCCATTGTTCTCCTCCACCATGCAGTTATCCATGGCCTCTTTGTATGAGATTTTAAGTTTGGTTTTAGGACAGGTAAGGTTCTTAATGTAGTTCCTCGTATCCTGCAGCTTCTGTGCCCCTTTGCCATCAAGCCATCCTCTTCGGATGGCCTCCTCAATGCTCACCCGGCGGCCAGTTTCTGGCTCTACAAGTCCACCCGTCAGGTACTGGAACTCCAGAAACCTCTGCCCTGCCTCGTAAGGCAACCATTTCTCCTTTATGGCCTCGGCAGCAGAAAGTTTCCTCTTGGTCTTCACATCCTCAAAACCGGCATAAGCCTTCTGTGCTGGTTTTAGCTTGATGGACATGTCTTCATCGATAAGGCTTTGCTGTACAGCATCTTTCAGAGAGAGTCTCTGGCCAGTAGCAGGATTGACAACCCCTCCTGTGCAAACCTGGGCCTCCAAGAGCCGCTGAGCGGTGATGTTGTCCACTATTCCACGCCGCTGCGCCGCAGGGATGGTTATCTTCTCAAGGGTCTCAGTATCAAAAATGGCTCCCACGGGGCTCTGGTCATCAAAAATATCAGATGGAGGGGAGAACGTAATGGATACGCTAGAAAAACGTTTGCGGACAGTTGGAGATGATGGCGCCATCTGTGTTGGGTTACTGCAAGAAGCAACATCCTCAGGACTGCTGGTGCAGATGGAAAGCTCAGAATTACTGCTTTTACTTGTGATCAGACCTGCAAACTCGTGGATTGTCAGAGTCCCGGCACGGTACTTGTCCAGGGTTTGCCTATCAATAACACCCCTATCTAGGGACTCTTGAATGTCATACTGGGTTCCAGTTTTGCGATCGACAATAAGTAAACGATTGCTGCCGTCAGATGTTTCGATAGTGATCTCCTCCCACTCACACTCTTGCTCCGAAAGCTCCAGGAACGTGTCATAATCAATTAACTCTCGATGATACGCTTCTCGTACGGTCATCTCTTTGCCGGTGTCAGGGTCTACAATCACCACTCTCCTCTTGCGCAGTGTGTTCTTTTGAGACGTCGTTTGCTTTGGCGTCTTCTTGTCCTTCAAAGGCAAAAGGATAAGCCCAGTCTTGGGATCTTTGATGCACCTCTTTTTCAACTGCAGATATGTGAGGTTTTCATGGGTGTTAGGATCAAAGAAACCTTTGGTGTCATCACCCTCGTAAGTCAAAATATCGTTCATTTCACGGTCGAAGTAACCTTTCCTGTAAGCCACTTCCACATCAATTCGATGACTCCCTTTAGGATCAATGATGCCACCACTGGCTATCTGAGCTTCCAGCAGTCTAATCCCATGACCCTTCTCTATGATCTCTTTCTCAATAGCTTGAAAGAGTGAGATGATCTTTCCTGTTGCAGGATCTTTGTATCCTGTCACAGCCTTCTCAGCAGACAGTAGTTTGTCTTTAAACTCCTTTCCCACAAGGGCTCTCCTCCATGCTTCTTCCACTGTCATGCAGACATTGTTGACTGGATCGATTATGAAACCAGAGGAAGCCTGGGCTTCCAGGAGCTCCAGGGTGGTTCCCCGCCGAAGTAGACCTTCTTTCATGGCCTGGTAAAAGGGCAGGACCCTACCATTGGCCTCATCGAAGATACCAGCGATGCAATCAGAGCCACCTAGGTACGATCTGAGTCTGTCCTCAATTTCTTTGCCTGTTAGTTGTCCTCGGTTTACTTTATCCAAATCTGTCTGATCAAGCAAGTTGGAGTCTACAAGCTCTGTGAGTGAGACCTCACCACGGAGACCTTTCACTGTCAGTTTCTTACAGCTACTATCAGAGACAGACTGACTGGTTTGTGTACACCGACAAGATGAAACTGGACGCTGTTGCAACATCCTCAATTCCCTTTCCAAAGACTCCTTCTTCGTAGTGAGCTCTGAGATCTCCTTGTCTGAGCTCTGAAGACGACTCTTGTAGCGTTCTTCCAGACTCCTCAGCTCAGCAGTCAATCTTTGGATCTCACTCTGCAAAGAGGTCCTGTCTCTCTGTACTTTGTCTCTATCTGCTTCACTCTGTCTGATCTGCCCCTCCTTTAACTCATATTGGCTTTTCCAGTACTTGAAATCCTTGGTAATTTTATCAATTTCGTCCTGAAGACGTTGCTTCTGTTTGATCTCAGATTCCAAGGAAAGCTTGATGCGCCGGAGCTCTTCTTCAGAGCGCTGTTGCTTGTCTTTGTCTTGTTGCAACAGCTTCAGTTTGACTAGAAGACTGTCTCTCTCTTGCACAATATCTTTGTAGTTGGCATCAGATCGCTGGATCATCATGGATGTCTGTAAACATAAAAGAGAAATGATTTATTGATAACTATTTCAGATTATAATTCATTTAGAGGATTTAACAAATGAAAGAATTATAACACCAACACCATATTGATTTGAACGTGGTTAGAATAAAACAAAAATTATTTGTTTTACCAAAGCAAGTATTAAAAAAGCTTTTTGTGGGAAGAGTGTAACCATGCAGTGTTATGCAGAAAGTGTGCTTTCAAAGGTAAAGCATTATGCAGCAGTGTTATCCAGCAAAGCCATTTTGATATAACTTAAATTGGTGATGTTATTTTTGATTCAACTGATGTCGCTCAGTAAAAAATACCTCCGTGAACTGCTTTTGGATTTGGGCAATTTCCACCCTTAAATTTTCTCTCTCTTTAGTCAGATCATTGATTAGTTCCTGCAGTTCCAGTGCTCTGTTATTGCTGGTTTGTAACTGGAATTGAATGGCAGACAATCGGGAAGCACTTTCAAGCTCGATGGTGCTCAGGCTTCTCTTCACGTCATCTCGCTCTAGTCGCACAGTCCTCAGTTCCTCCTCTAGCCGCAGATGCTCTTTGGTGAGATTCTGGGTGAGACTCTGCAACTTCTCGATCTCACTGGTGCTCTCATTTAGCAATCGACTCTTCTCTTCTATAGTCTTGTAGAGGGAATCGTTGCGTTGATTGGCCTCACGGACAAGGGCTTGTTCCCGCAGAAGCTGCTGTTGCAAAGCCTTCAGTTCGGCATTCACTCTGTTCAGATTCTCTACTGTGATTTTGTAGTCCTTCTGGCTTCTCTCCAACTCATCTTTCAAACTGCGAAGCTCCTGCTCATGCCTGCGTCCAGAAGCACTTTCCTGCTCTCGATGGACCCGCAGAGTGTTGATGGTAGTGGTGTATTCACGGCACGTCTGATTCACCCTCTCCAGCTCGGTTTCTATCCTTTTCCTCTTTGTGAGTTCATCCTGATTACTCCTCTTCTCCTTTTCCAGTGCAGCCTGCAACTCGTTCACCTTTGCCTGCAGTTCACTGATGCGACTCTGCAGCCTGATGGCATTCTGTTCCAATGTGCTCTTTTCGTTCTTTTGTGTCACCATCTCTCTCTTTATAACGAGAAGCTCTTGCTCAGAGATCTTTAACTTGTTAATGGTCTCGCTGGTTGAAGTGTGCTTAGAGAGTAGTTCAGCCTGAGACTGTCTGAGACTTTGATTCTCAACCTCCAAGGCTTTCCTCCGCCTGGTCTCGTCTTGTAGATTCTGGGTCAACAAGGTAATCTCACGGGCCTTTTCCTGACCAGCTCTGTTGGCCTCTGTCAGTTCCACTCTGTGTCTCGTTTCAGTCTCTTCCTTTTGACGTAATATGACCTGAATCTGTGACTCCAGTTCCTTCTTGAACCTGCTCCCCTCGGTTGACCTCTGCTGATGAGCGTCCTCTTCTGCTTTCCTTCGTGCCGCTTCGGCTTGGGAGAACGAAAGCTGCAGCTTTCTAAGTTCCTCTTCCAGGTCTCTTTTCTCAGAGTTTAACCTATCCAGCTGAAACCTTAGAGTTGTCGATTCCTCCTCCTTCTGCTGTGTTGCCTTGAGCACACTGGTCTTGGTGATGTGGATCTCAGATTCAAAAGTATGCTTTAGGCTATTAATGTCCTGGTTTAACTGTGTTCTTACCTTTGAGGTCTCTAATTCTGCTGCATTGCGCCGGGAGGCCTCATCCTGCAGCTGTAATTGCAGCCGTTCAATCTCCCGCTCTTTTTCTTTGATGGCCCTTTCAAACTGACTTTTGGACAAACTGAGCTCCTCGAGTTCTTTCTGTCTCTTGCGGACAGCGAGCTCATACTCCTCCTGCTGGGTGGTGTATCGGTCCTCAGCCAGCCTGCGTTTGCGTTTCTCTTCCTCGATGAGAAAGGTGAGGCGGGACACCTCATCTTGCAAGTTCTTCAGCTGATTCTGGGTGCTGTCCAGGCTTTCCCGAGTAGTACTGCATTGTCTAGCCTGGGTTCTTTTGATCTCCTCCATAGACATAAGCTCTTCTTTAGATTGGGTCAGCTCCAGCCGATAGCGAGCCAGACTATCCTCCATTGACTTGTTTTTATGAGTTTGATCTTTGAAATTGTCCTTGAGACGTTTTAGTTCTTCCTCCAAAAGGTCAATTTTAGTGTTCCGCATCTAATAAAAAAAAAGCCATATTGAATAGTGTAAGTTAGTGGTAGTAACTTACAAGAATAACAAATCCTCACATTTAAGAAAGCATTTTGAACATTGTGCTTCCTTTTTGTTTCCTATATGTACTGTAAGACTTTATTTTGATGGTCCCCTTTAGAAATTCTGCTGATTATACAGTAAGTAACTTTGCAAATACATGTCAACTAGCAGTCATTACAGTATTAGTGTCAGTATTAGTGTCTACAGTATTAGTCTGCTTAATATCTGCTAACTCTTTATTTTGATGGTCCCCAACACACATTCTACTTACTATAAGTCAATTTGCAGTCTTATAATCAGGGTCGTCTTATATTCGGGCCAATACGGTAAATGTCAACTTATTCTGCTAATCTTAATCCGAACCTAACAGTTTACTAATACACTACCAATACTCTAATGACTGCTAGTTGACATGTAGCTGCAAAGTTACTAATAATCAACAGAATTTCTAAAGGGGACCATCAAAATAAAGTGTAGCCCTAATATTCAGCTTTAATCCTAAACCTGTTAAAGGAACACTCCACTATTTTTGAAAATAGGCTCATTTTCCAACTCCCCTAGAGTTAAACAGTTGAGTTTTACCGTTTTAAGCCGTTTTCGGCGTAATAATCAAGGAACTTTGCTGCCATACCATGGGTGCAGCAGGCACAATGATATTACGCAGCGCCTGAAAATAGCCTGTGCAAGCAGGTGGTCACGCTGGTTATAATCTTTAGTGTCCTAAACAAGGTGAACTGAAACTAGCACTGTGACAAAATTGGTACTATGTTAGGAATTGTTGTAGTATTCTTAGCATTCTTGTGTCTTGCTTTTGGCATTGTAATAAATCACATTTATAGTCTTCAAACAAATTTATTTGAAAATGTAAAGAAATTATTCTACATTATATATTTCAGGGAATCCCAGACAACCTTATTGCCTGTTAAACTCCTAAACAGTGTTATTTTAGTATCATTAGAGATATTAATAGTTTTTAAACTCAACTGTTTAACTCTAGGGAGTTGGAAAATTAGCTTATTTTCAAAAATAGTGGAGTGTTCCTTAACTTGACTATGTAGTGAGTAATCTTTAGTGTCCTAAACAAGGTGAACTGAAACTAGCACTGTGACAAAATTGGTACTATGTTAGGAATTGTTGTAGTATTCTTAGCATTCTTGTGTCTTGCTTTTGGCATTGTAATAAATCACATTTATAGTCTTCAAACAAATTTATTTGAAAATGTAAAGAAATTATTCTACATTATATATTTCAGGGAATCTCAGACAACCTTATTGCCTGTTAAACTCCTAAACAGTGTTATTTTAGTATCATTAGAGATATTAATAGTTTTTAATTCATATTTTAAATAAAAATTATTTTTATTTTTACATTTTCCTTTTTAATTTTAATTTTAGTTAAAGTTTTATTAATTTTGTTGTGTATTTTTTTATATATATGTCTATATAGTTTTTATCCATTTTTATTTCAGTTTTAGTTTTAGTACAAGTTAAACGGTCGGTCATCTGTCCAACGAGCTCTGAGTATCTGGACAGGTCAACATCACACTGGTGGAAAGATTTGTCTATTTGACTGTTCCAGTGCACAGCCTTGGACAGCTCAGTCTCCATAGCCTTCAAAACACCTTTCTTCTGCTCCAGCTCTGCTTTCATGGTCTGCATGGCACAAGACACCACAATCAAACAGAAATATATATCTGACACGCTCAATCATTTTGAGTTGGAAGTCGCAATGAGCCATTTGTGGACAAAAAAATCAAAATTTTTTTGGGACGATGGTGCAAAAACAGGCTTCATTCACCCATATAGGAAAACATATTTACACTGACTGAATAACAGTCAGACACTTCTTCGACCTTCTTCTAGTCTTGGTCTTGACTCTGACTTAAATGAGCTGGTCTCCACTATAACACTGACTGTCCCTTTAAGGCTGCAACTTAATAAAATGTGACCCTGGAGCACAAAAGCAGTCTTAAGTCGCTGGGGTATACTTGTAGCAATAGCCAACAATACATTGTATGGGTCAAAATTATTGATTTTTCTTTTATGCCAGAAATCATTAGGATATTAAGTTAAGATCATGTTCCATGAAAATATTTTGTAAATTTCCTACCGTAAATATATCAAAACTTAATTTTTGATTAGTAATATGCATTGCTAAGAACTTCATTTGGACAACTTTAAAGGCGATTTTCTCAATATTTAGATTTTTTTGCACCCTCAGATTCCAGATTTTCAAATAGTTGTATCTTGGCCAAATATTGTCCTATCCTAACAAACAATACATCAATGGAAAGCTTATTTATTCAGCTCTCAATTTCGAAAAATTGACCCTTATGACTGGTTTTGTGGTCCAGGGTCACAAATGTGAAAAAAATGAAGGGGTCTGAATATTTTCTTATTGCACTGTATTATATTTGTATTTAACCTAATTATTTCATGTATGCTTGAATAATCTCCTAATATGACTGAAACTAGTTTAGAATCTTTAGAGGCATTTTTCAAAAAAAATTTTTTATGAAACCCACCATTTATTGTATATTGCAAACAATAATCCTATGAGCACAAATTAGAGATGTTAATTTTTCATTCAGTGCATAAAACTCAAAATATGCTTCAGGGTCGAAATGACTCAAAATGATCTCACCTACACACACCAGTGTTATTTTAGTATCACTGAGATATTATTGTAGTTTTTATTAATATTTTGAATCTGTTTTCTTTTTACGTTTTCATTTTAGTTTTAATAATTGTGTGTTTTTGTCATTTTTAGTAGTTACTTACAGAGAAATAAATAAAAAATAAATGTCTATTGTTTTTTTTATTTCATTGTTATCTCAGTTTTAGTTTTAGTTAGTTTAGTACATCAAGTTAAACTAAATTAAAATGAGAATTTTTGCTTTGGCAACTAGCTGAAATAAAACGTTTTATACATTGTATTTTATTTCAGTATACGTAAAGTAATTTTTTAATGGTTTTAATTTTAGTTTGAGTTTTAGTTTTAGTTAACTATAACAACCCAGACACACACATATTATGTACCTGGTTAAAAAAAGACAAGGGTTCATATTAAAAGTTCAGATATTTAAACTCATAAATATTAAGTTCACCTTGAGAGTCATGTGGTACTTTTCTACTTCGTTCAGATCAAGAGAAGTCGTCTCTTTTTCTGTCAGACGAGCCTCATGGACTTTAACGATGTCCTCAGCCTGCAGGAGGTGCTGGAGCAGAGCCTGAAGAGCAGAGAGCCTGGAAACACAGACAAATAAATCCCCATGAAAACACTGTGAGAAGATCACTGCTAATTAATTCTCATACTAATACCTTCTCCTGTCACACCTTGCTGTACAGAAACAACTATAAGTAAGCAATTCATTGGTTAATGAGAAAGATAGTCCAAGCCTGATTTCTTTCTTTCTTTCTTTTCTTTTCCTTATATATGTTCTTAGATTGTATATGTCAAGGAAACGCTGTTTTTATTCACACTGCAAGGGCAAAAAACATTTGACTTTTTTACCAATGCTAATCCTAACCCTAACCAATGCTATAGTCACCATAGATATAATACTGTTTACAGCTGCTAATGAAGCCTCTGGAGATGAAACCCAATTATGGTAAGTTGCTTTATATTTCCGACACGTTCTAATCGGCTGACCAATCACAATAGACTGGGCCAGCTGACCAATCAGAGCAGACCTTTTCAGGAAGGCGGGCTTTAAAGAGACGTGAAAAGAGGTGCTGCAGCAATGTCCAATATGAGAAAAATTATGTTTTTTGATCTTTAAAGCATGCAAAAGTATTCTAGCAGACCCCAGAAATAAATGAGCATATTATGGGCACTTTAACCAAAATCAGACCCCTGAAGTGGACCAAAAAACCGAATCAGGTGAAAAAAGACCCAGTTCTTTAGGTTCACGCTGTTCCTGTGCCTGAAAGAGAACTCAAATCCTTATTTTGTCCACTTTAGCAGTAATGGACTCTCAGATTTTTTTATGTTCATACTGGTGCTTTTTGGACCTAATCCATTTCAACATGCATTTTGGGTACAGCAAGATGGGAGTATAATGGCATATTGAGTATAACGCCATTAAGACAACACGTTATTTTGATGTTCCACTTTAGACTTTCTAATAACCGTAAGTAACTCTGCAACCACGTGTGAACTAGCAGTCATTAGAGTATTAACAAACTGTCTGCTTAATATCTGCTCACACTTTATTTTGATGGTTCCCAACACACATGTCAACTTCTACTAATCCTAACCCTAAACTAACAGTCTACTAATACTCTAATGAGAGTTAGTTGACATGTAGATGCAAAGGAATGAGTTAGCTGACATGAAGTCGCAAAGTTACTTATAGTTAGTAGAACGACTAAAGTGGACTATTGAAAATAAAAGAGTAACCATGCTGAACTCTATGCGACTTATGTGTCTCGTTTCAGACATTTCAGCAGGTTTAGGAAGAGGGCAAAATCAGAAACATAATAAATGCAGTATTGGTGGTTTGAAGTGTTCTTGCCTCTGGATATATGCAGTGGAGATGCCTTGCAGGCTGCCCAGTTTCTGGTTGATGTGGTCCAGCTCAGAGCGCAGGTAGCGGGTCTGTTCTGCATTAGTGCTTCCTTCCAGCTCTCTCAAAATCTTCTCCCTCAGACGCAGGTACTCGTCCCGGATGGAGTCCAGATCACGATGCACACCCTGAAAATACAGACCAGATTCAGATCATTAGGCAAATTTACTGATCAGATTAAAAACTCATATGTTGACCCTGGAGCACAAAACCAGTCATAAGGGTAAATTTTTCGAAAAGATGCACCTGTATACACAGTGGCTAAAAAATTGAATTAATTAATAATAATATGCAGTATTTTTTGTATATCTTTTGCAGCATTTGCCATGTAGCCACTAGATATAAATATTATATCTTGGTTCCAGGAACAGTAAAGGGTTAATCATGTAGAGTCTCTGAATGAATGACGTCTGACTGCTCGTGTAAATGCATGATCTTATAAATAAACTCAAATTTCCCCCACAGGATGTAATGAAAGGCCTGCTGTGTGATTTAAACAGTTCACAGGATGAATCGTCGTCTCTCTGTGTTTCTCTCAGTGTTTTGTGAAAGCGGCTCTCACCCCGTCGCTGGTCTTCCTCCTCTTCCTCCGGGACGGGACGAGTGATTTCCCCGGGATCGTCCAGCTCCAGTAGATCTTGTAGTGATGGACGGGGAGATCAGGCTCTGCGGGGAGAGTCCAGCTGATCCGGACCGTCAGCAGACCGTCGGGTCCCACCGTGATGTTAGACACGCTCAGTCCAGACGGGGCTGGAGGAGGAGACGGGTCTGAACACAGAGAACGACAGCACATGCTCAGAAAACACAAATGTGACCCTGGAGCACAAAACCAGTCATAAGGGTAAATTTTTCGAAATTGAGATGTATACATCATCTGAGAGCTGAATAAATAAGCTTTCCACTGGTGTATGGTTTGTTAGGATCGGACAATATCTGGCCGAGATACAACTATTTGAAAATCTGGAATCTGAGGGTGCAAAAAAATCTAAATATTGAGAAAATCGCACAATGAAGTTCTTAGCAATGCATATTACTAATCTAAAATTAAGTTTTGATATATTTACGGTAGGAAATTTACAAAACATCTTCATGGAACATGATCTTTACTTAATATCCTAATGATTTTTGGCATAAAAGAAAAATCAATAATTTTGACCCATACAATGTATTGTTGGCTATTGCTACAAATATACCCCAGCGACTTAAGACTGCTTTTGTGCTCCAGGGTCACATATGTATCAAGAGATTGTCAAGATGGGGTGAAAACGAAAACTGTATTTAATCACAGTCCCCTTGATTCGGCAAAACCAAAAACACTACCGCTATTAATAGATTGCTATAAAAAACTGCACTTTAATATAAAATACAATCCATCAAAGCTGCCATAATAATCCTCCCTCAAAAAGTGTTGAAAACACATTTTCTTTCTATTATTCTCACTCTCCAGGTCAATGTTTTCCACACTATTATTCTGTACTGTTTTCTGATTTTTTATTCTAGAAGTATATTTTGGCAAAGTGTCAAAAGGAAAAAGATACTTTACCCATGTCTCGTAGGTAAACATGTGAAAACATCTTTTTAATGTTAATGACTTTTACGTTAAACTAAGAGCCTCAAACAAAACTCTTGAATATTTTTCAATGTTTCTAGCCCTTGTAATTCACTTCACATGAGCATCTAAATGCTGGATATTTGTGAAGACAAACTTTTTGAAATTCAGTGTTTAGTCGCTATATAAAGTGGTAGTGGCCAAAAATGATGAACTGATACCTTCTTGTAAGCCAATTAAATTGCTACATGACCTTGGAGTTTGTAAAAAAAAAAAAAACAGTAGGAAATTCGTCCGTGGATGGTGGGATATATCACAGACCAGCCCCTGAATATGCTGCAGTTTCCTTTTATTCCCATGTAAAACATGGGGTTTGAATTTTGTAAAAAAAATTAAATTCTGTCATCATTTACGCACCCTCAAGTTGTTCTAAACCTGTACGAGTTTCTTTCTTCTGTTAAACACAAAAGAAGATATTTTGAAAAATGTTGGACACCAAACAGCTGACGGTAGCCATTGACTTCCATAGTATTTTTTTCCATACCACGGAAGTCAATGGCTACCGTCAACTGCTCGGTAACCCACATCATTCAAAATATCTTCTTTTGTGTTTAGCAAAAGAAAAAGAAACTAACACAGATTTGAAACATCTTGAGGGTGAGTAAATGATGGGAGAGTTTTCATTTTAGTCCGACTGTGTTTATGAGTAAGCAATGCAGAAATCTGATATATCGGCAATACATCACTAGTTGTTCTAACAGACTATGCCATTGGCAGTGCCATGTGTTTGATTGTACCTGCAGCAGCACGAGTCTTTGGGAGCACTCCTGTACGCCGTTCTCCTTCAGAGGCACGTGGAGGTGCTGGATCAAGCCCGTCTCCGCCGCCTCCACCCTGCGTCTGAGAGCACTCAGATCTGACATGAAACTCACATTCAGCCCTGAGCTCACATTCAGCCCTGAGCTCACATTCAGCCCTGAGCTCACCAGCTTCCCATTGGTCACCACCAGCTTCCCATCTGTCTCCTCCCTCCTCACTTCTGTTCTTATGTTCGCACTCTCCCCTAGAAGACAAACAAAACAAAGACACAATAGTTAGGTTGGTTCTTCTGTAAAACAGTAAATGAAGGAATGCTATCCTAAAGCAGGCATGGACAGCTTGAAACCTTAATCTCTAATCAAACATCCTTCCTGTAATTGTCAAGTGTTTACAAATGGAGCTAAACAGCAGAACAGTGGCACTTTATACTGAAATATATCCGGTTTCTATTTTAATTCTTGTTTAAAAGTACATCAATAGTTTTAGTACCTGCGCCACTGTTATTTTAGTATCACTGAGATACTATTATAGTTTTTATTAATATTTTGAATCTATATTATATTTTGTATTTTTTATAATTATCATTTTTTTATTTTTTAATATATATATTCCATTTCATTTTAGTTCATGTTTTATAACGCGCGCGCGCACACACACACACACAGTTATGAGACAGATGGAGCTGATAATAAATCTGATGGTTCACACCACTGTTATTTTAGTATCACTGAGATACTATTATAGTTTTTATTAATATTTTGAATCTATATTATATTTTGTATTTTTTATAATTATCATTTTTTTATTTTTTAATATATATATTCCATTTCATTTTAGTTCATGTTTTATTCATTTTGTTGTGTTTTTGTCATTTTTAGTAGTTTATATATATATCTTTATACTTTTTTTTTTCATTTTATTTCAAGTAATGAATGTTTTTTTTTATGGTTTTAATTTTACTTTCAGTTTTTGTTAATTATAATAACCCTGGCCTGAACTAAGAAAAAAGACAGATGTGTGATCCAAAGGTCTGCTAAATTTCAGTGAAGTTTAACACTGAGTGTTATGAACTGTAGATGGGTTCATTTCCATGCATCCAGCTTCAGTTTGCAGATTCAGGCAGATGTAGGCATGAAGTAATAAATTATGTCACTTGTTAATTTGTGAATTAAGTGAAAAGATTATTTCAGGAGACTGACATTTTAATTGTTTCAAAGACTCTTTGCATTATTTGTTCTAATCATATTTTGATGGTAAATCAGAGATGAACTCTTCTACAGACCCAGTCTGTGGATTCATAAATCTGAATCTCTGCAACGCTGGCTTGATATTCCATGCCAAGATGACCTGTAACACTACATTCATGTGTATTGATTATAATATGATGTGACTGGATGCGGTGTGCGCGTGTCTTACTATAGTTGGGCAGCTGGATCACCAGCCGGTCATAATGGGACTGAGCTCCTGCGTACTGCATCTCCATCTTTCTCTTTTCTTCATCGCTAAACATCTCAGAGCCGAGACAGTTCCGCATGAACTCCTGGTAGTGGAGCTCCAGGTTCTTAATAATGTTGCGATACTCTTCAGGACGCATTTGTGACAGCTAAAACAGACAGGGAACGAGATGCAAAGAATGATCTAAGAGATGGAAACTTTTTATGTAATTCTAAGTCAAAAAGCATATTAGGCATTGAGTAAAAGGTTGATCCAATCAATTGATACCATTGAGAGTGTGAGGGAGTTGATGTATTGGATGTCCTTCATGCAGTACTGCCAGGAGATCAGACTCTTGATGTTGATGTACAGCTGACTCCAGATGGACATGATGGCTTCATAGTACTGCTCGTTCCTGTCAAGCAGTCAGTTAATCAGTGCATGTCTTTACTATGACACTACCGGCTGCTCTAGGATCTGTGTGCATGTGTGTTTTTGTCGTACTTGTGTGCCAGACCGATGCTCAGAGGGTTTGGTGGTGGGATGAACAGACATACTGATGGGATGAGCATTTCCAGTCCTCCAGGTCCAGTCACGTGCCACTTACTGCGCTGAGAGTTGTCTTTCAGGATTCCTTCATTCCCTTTCAGAATGCCCTTCTGTAACAACCAAACTGCTTTCAGTGTTTCGTACCGTTTTGCAGAAATACATGCACTGTATGTTTACATCCTGCTTCTGGAGAATGTAGTTCTAGCTTTAAATTACACCTGAAACAATTAACCTTTGTGCTTAAGAGAGTTTGGTAAATTACAAGAGAGAGAATTGCATTGAGAAGTGGTAAAAACACAAACTTTCAGACATCGTCTAGAAGCACATTTACTCCCTAAAAACTGAGGTAGCAACAACCACATTGATATTAAATCAATGGCTATGTTAAAGGGATAGTTCACCCAAAAATGAAAATACTGTCATTATTTACTCACCCTCGTGTCATTTCAAATCCATTAGACTTTGGTTAATCCTCGAAACAAATTAAATCTGAGAGGTTTCAGTCCCTCCATTGAAAGTCCAGGTAACCAAAACATAGAAGATCCAAAAAGGTCATAAAGGCATCTTAAAAAAGGAATCGAGGGGCTTTATACAAGTCTTACGAAGAGATATGATCGCTTTACATGATAAACATATTTAATTTAGGCTTTTAAGCACACATACATGGAGCTCATCACATATGGAAAACACAGAAGCTCATTTACCATTGTGATGTGCTCTATGTGTGTCGATTAGGGTTGCAAAAAGGTGGAAAATTTCCAGTAAATTTCGAAAACATTCCAGAAATTTCGGAAACATTCCTGGATTTTCTGGAATATTCCAGGGATTTTTGGAAAGTTTCCGGAAATGTTCCACCCCTTTGCAACCCTAGTGTCGATCACTGTTCAAATGAATAGATTTCATTTAGGCTTTTATTTACATAATAAAAAGCGACTGTCTATTCGCATGACTCGCATTAAATCATTTGTTTCATATTAACAACTCCTTTATGACCTTTTTGGATCTTCTTAATTTTGGTTACCTGAACTTTCAATGGAGGAACAGAAACTCTCAGGTTTCAATAAAAATATCTTAATTTGCGTTATGAAGATGAACCAAAGTCTTAAGGGTTTGGAACAACATGAGGGTGAGTTAATTTTTTGGGTGAACTGTCCCTTTAACAAAGTCAGTGTTTGATAACAGATGTGACTCTTCAACTGTCCTCCTATTTCTTAAGTCATTCCATTGACTAAAACAGCGTTTTATGTGTCCTCTGTTTGGTGCCTGATGAGAAATCACTTGCTGACAATGCCAAATGAAAATCATTTTACAGTGTATTAAATCTTAGTAATGAAAAGTCTTTTAAATTATACGTCACATTTTATTACTAGTGCTGTCAAGCGATTAATCGCGATTAATCGCATCCAAAATAAAAGTTTTTGTTTACATAATATATGTGTGTGTACTTTGTATATTTATTATGTATATATAAATACACACACATGCATGTATATATTTAAGAAAAATATGTTGCGTTTATATATTAAATATATTTAGATATGATATAAATTATATGAATATAAATATATACGTGTAAATATTTTCAAAATATATGCTGTGTGTGTGTGTATTTATATATACATAATAAATATACACAACACACACACACACACACATATATTATGTAAACAAAAACTTTTATTTCGGATGTGATTAATCGCGATTAATCGTTTGACAGCACTATTTATTACTAAAGTTAAAAAAATGTTGATTTGCAACAAAGTGGCTGTTAGAGTAGACAGCTTTGCTGATTATAATGCCATCATAAATCAACACTGCAATGGCACATTAATATAGAAATCTACTGATGAGCGGTCACATATTTGTAATTTATTACTGTACAGTTTGTTTGTTTGTTTTTTACTTAAAAGTGAAGCTAGTTGTGCACCGATGGAAGACTTTTCATTCATCTGTTATGAAAATAGACATTTCTCAGTTTCCAACCCTAGCTGAACGTTTAAACTAACATGCTTGGGAAATCACAACAAGTCCTTCACTGTATATATAGATCATTCAGATATGACAAAGAATATAAAGAGGACATCAGTGCGTATGTGAGAGTGACTGACCTGGTCCTGTTTGAAGTCACACAGGGCTTTGACGATGACCGGGCCGCTGCTCTTCTCCTCTGGGTTACGAGGCTTCAGACACACGATGCTCTTGGACTTGCTGACCAGCGTCTGAACCTGCCTCTTACTCTCCATGATCCTGTCTTTCTCTTTCTACACACACATACAGGCACAATTATTTACAAGATGAATGGGAACATTTTCTGTGCACACAGTGATTTGCAAAGTGCAGTCACGTCATACGTACATAAGAAATGACATTATAGGACGTCATATGCTACATATTTGATTTTTTTTAAATTTTGTCACACCTCCAGGTTTTTGAGCATTTCTGTCAGATTCTCCAGAGGTGTGTTCTTGTCACAGGTGAACTTCTTACGGATGCTCTCGTGGTCTTTCTGCAGTCTGCTGTACGTCTCATTGGC